CTAAACCCTAAACCCTAAATCTGATCCTTGCCTTTGGGGTCCCTGCATCCTGAACCCCCAGCCCGATCCCTAAACCCTACCTTAAGAACCCAAAACCTACTTTTCTGTAGGGTCCCTATAAATCCCATATCAGGGTTTATAGCAAGAACCTACAAAAAAGTAGGTTTTGGGTTCTTAAGGTAAAAACCCTACATCGTTTACCCAGAGAAGCAAATACCCCTTAATTAAGGCATATATACCTTGACTCATAATATTAAGGACCCTCTAATTTAGGGGTAGTGGGTTCTCTGGGTAGGGCTTATAGGGGGCTCGGGGGTTTAGGGGTTTAAACCCTCACCGATCCTGCAATGGCTAGTATCGGCCCTAGACCCTGAAACCCTAAACCCCTAAACCCCTAAACCCTAAACCCCTAAACCCTAAACCCTAAACCCCTAAACCCCTCAACCCTAAATCCTCAACCCTGAGCTGCCAGGTGAATCCGGTGTGCTCCGTGTTCACGCTCCCACACGGCGCCTAGCAGGGCCTCACAGCGAGTGCCAGATGCCAATCGGCGAAAAATCCGAGGGTTTCGGGTTTCCGGGGGTTTTAGGGTATAGGGTTTAGGGTGTAGGGTTTTAGTATAGGGTTTAGGGTGTAGGGTTTTAGTATAGGGTTTAGGGTGTAGGGTTTTAGTATAGGGTTTAGGGTTTAGGGTGTATAGGTTTGGGGTTTATGCTTTGCGCCGCACCCTAAACTCTAAATCCTAAACCCTTAGACCCTCTTTGGGTTTAGGGTTTACTGCTTAGGGGTTTAGATTAGGGTTTCGGGTTGTAGATTAGGGGAAAGGGTTTGGGTTACTAGAGAAGTCGGAATAGATCGCTCATCGTTTGCACAATCGCCCTTCTGGAATCAGACAATAGCTGGACCCTTAAATGCAGTACTTTTTGGGTTACCTTAGTTTCTTATTATAGGATCCTAACCCTAAAACACGTCATCCAAAAAGAGGTGCTACATTTATGTAAGGGTCTAGGTAGTTCTCTGCCAAAAATAGTCGAAGTGCTAAGGTGCCCATATTCTATTCCCGAGCTCGTCCAGACCCAAATAAGGCACTGTGGAACGTGGTGTACATTTTCAGCTGGCATCGACAGAAAGTAAACTCAGCATACTGGTCTTGTTCATGCCACTTGCCCTAGTGATGTTTTCTTGTGTATCGTGTTTGTCTAAGGTTAGAAGTACGGGCCCCTAATATGGACTTTTAGGCCTTTCTAACCCGTAAAGGTACATATAGGGTATATAGTCGGTGTATAAGGATCCCAGGGTTAAGGGCCCATACTAGGGGCCCATGGTTTCAACCTTAGATCTAAACCCTAAACCCTAAACCCTAAACAACCTTAGATCTAAACCCTGAACCCTAACCCCTAAACCCTAAACCCTGAACCCTAAACCCTAAACCCTAAATCCCAACTCAATCTCCCCAGATGCCAGGACCCTAAACCTGCAAGCCCCAAATCCCATGGATCCAACCTTAGAGTTTGGTGGCCAGAGATTTAGGGGTTTAGGGGTTTAGGGTTTCGGGTTTAGGGTTTAGGGTTTAGGGTTTAGAGACTTCTCAAAACTGCTACGCAGAAACTGCCCACGAGACATCTCATGCCCCTTAGCCTACCCCTAAGAGTTCATGTGCCCAAATAGCAGATACTTTGGCCTTAAAGTAGTCCCTATATAGGTAATTTGGCGCCGAAGTATATACTATGTGGGCACATGGACCCCTAGGGTACGGCCGTTGCTTGTGAGTCGGAGAAGCCGTTGCGGAAAATGTTGTGTTCATCATCCTTTGCCTTTTGGCTCACAGCCGGACATTCAGTTGTAGCATGATTCGGGGTTTACGGTTCAGGGTTGTGGTTCGGGCTTTAGGGTTAAGGGTTGCCAGAACCTGCCTCAGCCTTTTGCGACAGATTTCAAGCCGGGTGAAGCCTGGACCGTGGAAGCTACTCCTTGGGTGTTATCCTATTCTGCCGACAGCCTAGCTTTCAGTGAAGCCTCAGGGCCTTGAGGTCTGGTAGTGTGGAAAGTTAGGGGAAACAGTCGATTTTGTGCGGATCTTTGCGCCAGCATGACTGAGTCCGCAGCTGTCGTGCAAGCAAAGCGCTTTTGTTGCTCTGCTCCTTGTCCTAACCTTGGACTGCCACGGCTGGAAGCCCTTTTTGGAGTCCTTGTACACTTTAGACTGGGCGTTGTCTTAAGAACCTACAGAAAACAAGAAGGATCAGCTCCATTTAAACCCTAAACCCTAAACCCTAAACCCTAAACCGTCGCAATTCAATCTGTGCCGGATGCGCAGATGCTGAGCGAGCGCCTTTCGGGATTGGTGGTCCTGTCTTCTGCAGAGGGAGTCGAGAAGCTACTTTTTTCCAAAGTATTGCAAGCAACATCGAAGACCTTGCAAGTTCGGTCCTAAACCCTAAACCCTAAACCGCTTTACAGTAGGCATACTTACATCCCCGGCAGCCCACGTCTGCTTTTACTAAGGAAGCAGCAGGTCAATGTTGTTCAGTTTGCGGTTTCGGAGTGCACATTAGGTGGAGCCAGCGCTAGTAGGGTTTAGGCTTTAGGGCTTAGGGGTGTAAAGGGCTTAGGGTTTAGGGTTTAGGGTGTACGGTTTAGGGTTTAGGGAGCATCTGATCCTCATCAGCACCCTTCGTTCAATGCGATGGAGTAGTAAGGGTTTCTATATATACGGGTACTGAAAGGGCAGTATGTTAGGGTCCCTAAGTCTGTATGAGATTGTACAGGGCGTAGGGTTCAGGGGCTACAGAGCCTAAGGTTGGAGTCCAATTACTTACTTGGCACATAGTCCCACTATTGACCGACATGGCTACTGTCCCCGAAGGGTCCATGTACCTAAACAGTAGACACTTTGGCCTTAATTGAAGTAGTCCCTATATAGGTGCCCCAAAGAATACACTATTTGGGCACATGGACCCTTAGGGGTCCTGGACCCATCACTTAATTGTCGGATCCTTTGAACCCGTAGTACCTTG